AAAAAAAAAAAAAAAAAAGCAAGCTCCAGCTCGCTGGTGGGGGAGATAGAACCTATCTACACAGAAAGCTGAAATCCTTGGTGTTGCTGACTGCTGGGTTAGGGCTAGGGCTACGGGACAGCAGCTCAACACAGTGGATTTGTACCATTCTCAAGCTGTCTACTCAGCCCTCATATGCGAGGCAGGCGGTGGAACCACTGAGCTAGATCCCCGGCCCGCAGCCCTCATATGCAGTGTCCTGTAATCTTCCCTGTTTCTAAGTGAGGTGGCTGTAATGGGCCCTGTTTGACAGATAAGCACAGAGATTAGATGACTTGCTTGAGGTCATGGCCAAGAGGTGGCAGGCATGGAAATTAACCTCTCTCTCTGTTTGGCATCAGGGCAGGGGTTGGGGAGTGGTGGCTGGAGCGAGATTCTTAGGTTCTGAATTCCCACAATATCACTAGCTGTGTATGCTTGAGCAAGTCTATTCTCTTGGAGCCTCAATTTCTCATAGATAAGGTGGGAGTAATAAGAACATTTCCTTCAGTGCAGGTTAAGTGTGCATTTAAAATGCTTATTATAGCCCAGTGTGATGGTGCACACCTCTGATCCCAGCACCTGGAGACTGAGGCAGGAGGATCTCCACAAGTTTGAGGTCAGCCTGGGCTACCTACTGAGTTCAAGGCCAGCCTGAATTACATAGTAAGACCCTGCCTCAAAACAAAAAAAACAAAAAAAAAAAGCTTTTCACTACTCTACTTTAAAAAGTGTTAAGACAAATTGGCCATGTAGAGAAGCCCAGTCTCACGCTGGTCTGTGTGGAGAGGTGTCTGGGGAAGGTTGGCGTTTGAGTCGGGGGAGGCAGGGCTCAGCACAGTGAGCAGGTGTGTGTCAGGCTGGCGATGCTGCATTGTCAGGCAGGGGACCGTGTGGACGGTGGCGAGGTGGTGGGAAGGGTTGGGGCGGACCATGGTTGGTGAGCAGGAAAGGGGCCCCTCGGTGACAGGAAGCCAGGCATCCTTCTGAGACCAGGGCCCTGTGGGATCAGAGCTTAGCTTCCGGGAGATGGCGATGGCTAGAGGGCAGACGGGAGGGCGGGAGGAGCAGCTGGTTCTCACTGCGCCCTGCCCCCAGTCTATCAGGCGCCTGATGGAGGCAGAGAAGGTGAAAGGCTTCTGCCAGGTGGTGATCTCCTCCAATCTGCGTGATGGCGTCTCCCACCTGATTCAGTCTGGGGGCCTCGGCGGGCTGCAGCACAACACCGTACTGGTCGGCTGGCCTCGCAACTGGCGGCAGAAGGAAGACCACCAGACCTGGAGGAACTTCATTGGTAACGCCGCGGTTCGCGTGCAGAGGGCGGCGGTGGGCTTCGTCCGGCCTGACGGTTTTCCCAAGCATAGAACCCTAGTGGGTTTGACATGCTCGGTGCTGGCCATGGGCAGGAGACTCCGCTGTGAACGGGGCACCCTTGGCTCTCACATGGCTCACAGGACCTGGGAGGTAGAGAGCGGGGAAGAGTCACAGCCTTGAAGTCGTGGTGGCTGGGTCTACATCGCAGCTCTGTCCTTCCTACCTATGGGACTGTGCCCAAATGACTCACGTTTTCTGAGCATCAGACTGCTTGGGAATAGTCAGGAATAGCAATATAAAAACTAACATTTATAGAATGTGTTCTGTGTACCTGACAAGTTCAGGCTTTGTCTATTTCTTTCATCAGTCGTATGAGGGCTACTATTGTCATGTCCATTTTATTGGTGCAAAACTTAGGCATAGAAAGGCACCTCAAGTTACCCAGCTAGGAAGCTGGTTTGACGCAGCCCAGAGATTGTGTGCTAACTTTAAGCGATCCCATCTCCTGTAAGGATTCTACAAAGCCATACATGGTGGATTCTTAATAAACGGAAGGAGCAGGTGGTGTTACTGCCATTTGACAGAGGGAAAAACTAAGGTCCAGTGGGTTGAGAGTCTTTCCATATACAAACACATACTGTGCAAAGCTCAGGCAGGTGCTGGTTTTCTGACTACTTAGCCCAAGGCCAAGGCCAAGGCCAAGGCCAGGAGGGGTGGGTAGGGTACTAGATGCCAGGGGCCTTTGGGAGCGCTGCTGGGCATTGGAGAGACCAGAGTCACCTTCCCCCTTTTGGTCCTGTCCTCGGTTTCCTTAGAACTGGTCCGGGAAACCACAGCTGGCCACCTGGCCTTGCTGGTCACCAAGAACGTTTCCATGTTTCCTGGGAACCCCGAGCGCTTCCCTGAGGGCAGCATTGACGTCTGGTGGATTGTGCATGATGGAGGCATGCTCATGCTGCTGCCCTTCCTGCTGCGCCACCACAAGGTGAGTGTGTGTGTGAGTGTGTGTGCGTGCGTGCGTGTGTGTTTGCACCTATGGGTGAGGCCCCTGGGCCCTGGCCACGGTCAGCCTTCACACCCTCCCTCTCTTGTGAGCCCCTGGGACAGGGATGAGATCACCTCCTGTGTTCCAGGATGTTAGGAACTGATTGTGTCTACTTAGAGGTGCATTGCTCCGCAGGTAAGCAATGCTGAACCCAAGCAAGTGGTACTCTAACTGGGGGAACCTAAGACCTAAGGGGAGCCTTGGCAGGGAGTGGCTCCTGCGATAAAGGATTTGAGCTCTGCATGTGTGTGAGAGGAGCAGGAGGGAAGGGTGAGCGGACGTGGGCCTCGGACCGTGGCTCTCCCGGTTGCACCAGAGTTGGACATTCTTGGATCCGCTTCACCCCTTGCAGGTGTGGCGCAAGTGCAAGATGCGGATCTTCACTGTGGCCCAGATGGACGACAACAGCATCCAGATGAAGAAGGACCTGACCACGTTTCTGTACCATTTACGCATCACCGCAGAGGTGGAGGTGGTGGAGATGGTGAGTCTGCAGGGGCCCCTCCGGAGTTCTGGGGCGCCCCCCTGCTTCTTTCCCCTTGGTGCCAACCTCCATCCACAGACGATGCAGGATCCTTTCCCCCTCATCCACTGCTCAGCTTCTCACATCCAAGAGGTCGTCCATCCATCCTTTTCTCTAAGAACGGACACGTCTAATAGTGCTCTTTCTATGCCAGGCACTGTTCTATGCACTTTATATAGAATAAGTCTCATAACAATGAATGAGATAGAATCACCAGAATTTGCACCTTACAGATGAGATGTTGAGGCACGGAAAGGTTGAGTAATTCACCCCGCAACATACGGTAAGTGGTGGACCAGAATTCAAACCCAGGCAGGCTGACTTTAGAGTCAGTGGTTACTATGTCACTAGCCTTTAGCCCATCCAGCCCTCCAGCTGATTCATCTGTCCACCCACCCCTCTGTATACCCATCAATCTGCCCATAGATTCCCTGATGTAGCTATTCACTCACCCCTCATTCATCCACATATGAATCCATCCATCCCTTCATTCTTCCCTCCTCCTCCTCCTCCTCCTCCTCTTCCTCCTCTTCCTCCTCTTCCTCTTCCTTTTTTCTTCTTCTTTCACTCAGGTAATTAATTCGTATACTCCTATGCTGAGTCAAACAGAATGAGTTGCCTGCTTTCCCAGGTTATTGCCCTCCCTGTTCCATCTGTGCCTCCTATAACAATTGGTGAAGTTAGGGTGTACGATAGGGACACCCTAGGCTGGCAGGAGGAAGGGGGCCCACCTCCCATCCCTTGGCCTTGCACCTAAGCTGAACTCTTGCTTTCCTCCCCTGCCTGACCACAGCATGAGAGTGACATCTCGGCTTATACTTATGAGAAGACGCTGGTGATGGAGCAGCGTTCCCAGATCCTCAAACAGATGCATTTGACCAAGAATGAGCGTGAGCGGGAGGTGAGGTCACCTTGGTGGGGGTTCTCAGAGCCTTGAACTGCTGCCCGCTCTGGGTCTGCTCAGATATAGGACGGCTGACACCTCTGGCTACTGGCACTACTGCCTTCACCCCAGTCACCCTACCTCCAGCCCTCTGCTCCTCAGGAGTGGGAATCCACACTACTGTTGCACCTGCCCAGGCCCCCAACCAACAAGGCAGAGGGACCTTGGCATGTGGGATAGATATTCCCTTCTGTATGGGATTTCAAGGGCCTACGGGAAGAATAGTGGATGCTAAATATGTACGGATGACAATTCTTGAGGGGTGTGGGCTGCCAGTGTGGGAGACATGTTCATGGAATAGGCTCTCAGAAAGTGGGTAACAGATGGCTATTTAGAGATGTAGCTGATGAGTAGGAGAGAGGGGCAAACTTCCCGGGGTGCGGTTGATGGGATTCTCAGGGGTAACGACGATGGGCCCCCCCATGTGGTATGGATGTGAGATCTCTGTGTGGATCACTGATCCTATAGAGGCTGGATGAAAGACCCACACGAGGGAGTGGCATTCTAGGAGCAAAATGAGTGATGGTCTCCTGGACTGGAGACAGAATCGCTCCTGGTCATTTGGGGAATGGGTAGCAGACCGTATAGGGGACAGTGTCAGATCACGGCTTATGAATTTTCCAGGAGTGGATAGTGTATTTCTCCTAATGTAGTTGATGGAACCTCAGGGGAAAGAATGGTGGGCACTCCTTTGAGCTGGAAGGACGGGCTGTCCAAGGACGGGGGTGTTACCTAGGGGTGACAGTAAATATAAGAAATGGCATGTGCACTGACTGCCCGGAACCCATGTGGACCATGGTGCTAGGTGAGAGCCTAGCTGTGCCAGGTGCTAACCCTCTGGTTGCCAGGTGTCAGGGAGGTTTGGGGCTCTGGAGAAGGGTGGCCACATCAGTGGTGCAGCAGCTATTTGACCTTGAAGCACTGCACTGTTTTAACAACTGATGCATTTCCAGAAAGCGCACATCCTGGCTGAACATCAGATGTGTGGTAGCTCTTGGCAGGGCATGGGTGGTGACTCCCGGCAGAGCTGGCAACCTGTGTCACTCCTTAGATCCAGAGTATCACAGATGAGTCTCGAGGCTCCATCCGGAGAAAGAATCCAGCCAACACCCGGCTCTGCCTCAATGTCCCAGAAGAGACAGCTGGTGACAGCGAGGAGAAGCCAGAGGAGGAGGTGTGCAGCTGGGGTGGTTTGGTTCGAGCCAGTGGGAGGAGAACGTTTGGCCACCAAAGGAGTCACTTGGTCTGCCTTTGTTCATCCCTCAGGTGCAGCTGATCCATGACCAGAGCGCTCCCAGCTGCCCCAGCAGCTCACCATCCCCAGGGGAAGAGCCTGAGGTGGGGGGCGAGACAGATCCCGAGAAGGTGCATCTCACCTGGACCAAGGACAAGTCGGCGGCAGAAAAGAATAAGGGTCCCAGTCCCGTCTCCTCTGAGGGCATCAAGGACTTCTTCAGCATGAAGCCGTACGGGCCTGGGGCTGGGGCTGGGGCTGGGCCTGGGCCAGGCCGGGCAAGCCTGGAGGGTCTTGCTCACCATAGCAGAAAGAATGAGAGGAAGGGGTCCTGGCCTGCAGCCTGAAAACCCAGGTGCTGTCTTTGCTTTCTTCCTCTGAGGACTGAGGGGGCTGGGCCTGAACTCCTGGCTTCAGGCAGAAGGAAGGTGAAGGAGGTAGGGGCTGAGAGAGCAGGACCAGCACCCACGCAGGGCGGCAGGTGGTGGTGGTTTGTGCTGCAGCCTCCTCCTTTTCCTGATCTCTCTTTTTCTTTCTCTCTTTGCTTCTGTTGTGTTTCCTGAAGGGAGTGGGAGAACTTGTAAGTGCTTCCGCATTTTTTCATTTTCTCTCCTAGTTGACCAGGGTCTCTACTCCCCTCACTCTCTCACGAACCCCCAAGGGACGCCGCTAACCTCCCGGGTCTCTGATTGGCCCAGCTTGGAGAGGTCTGGGGGGTTGGAGGTTCCTGGTTTGCAAGGACCGGGCCTCAACAGCCTACCTCTGGCTGTAGTGGCTGAATCCAGCTCTTCCCCAGCCTCATGCGCTCTCCTCCCCGGCTTCCTCCCACAGGAACCAGTCCAATGTGCGGCGCATGCACACAGCTGTGCGGCTGAACGAAGTCATCGTGAATAAATCCCGGGATGCCAAGCTTGTTTTGCTCAACATGCCCGGGCCTCCTCGCAACCGCAACGGCGACGAAAACTGTATCCTGGTTGTAAGATTGGGGGAAGAGGGAGGTGGACTTTAGGGAACCTGGGTCCTGGCTCTGGAATGGAAGGGCTGAGCCGGTCCCGCGTCAGGATCAGCACCCCGAACAGGGACCCAGGCGCGAGAGTTCCCAGGCTCCGTGCGACCCCAATTGCGTCGGGAGGCCAGGGACACGCATTTTCTCCTTGACTGGCGCTCAGACATGGAGTTCCTGGAGGTCCTCACAGAGCACCTGGACCGGGTGATGTTGGTCCGTGGCGGCGGCCGCGAAGTCATCACCATCTACTCCTGAGGGCCAGGACCTGCCCACCCGGCCCCGAGCGCGCCGGCCCGCGGCCCCGGAGCCCCTTGCCGCGCCCCCAGCCGTTGTCACCGTTTACATACAGACCCTGTGCCCGAACCCCGGCCCCTTCCCCCGCTGCCTGAAGTCTGGAGGCCACGCCCGTCTGGGGTGACTCGGAGGGGACGCCGGAGCGCCCCATCGTCTCGTGCGTCGTTGGCCCCGGTTGCGTTGCCCTTTTTCTAACCCCGGCCTCTCCCCACGGAAGGAGACGCTGCAATAAACGTCGGGAGCAGGCGCGAAGAGGAGGAGCTGGGGCCTTGAGGACCCCCAGGTAGCCCACGCGGCCCCTTCCCCCTTCCCTAGTCCGGCCGCGGCCGTTGAGCGGGGCGCCGGCTGAGCCTATACATAGTGTACAGGAGACATCGCGTGTATTTTTAACGTCCTCATATTTATGTAACTAGAAGAAGCGCAACAGACTTCTGGCCACAGTCGAGCTCTCCGGCTGGGGGCGCCCAGGGGAGCGGAGGCCTTGGGAAGCTGGGTTTTCCTTGACGTTGAGAGACTGAGAGCAAAAGTGCTTCAGGCCCAGGCGGGGGTCGTGGTCCTGATCCCACGACACCCCCGCCCTGCTCTCGCCTCCGTGTTCTTTCCGCGGGCCCTTGGCTCCCCCACTTCCCTCCAGTTCTCATCGGAGACGAGGTAAGACGAGTGTCCGGCTTTTCCTGGATTCGCCTGCCAGTGGATGTGAGCTTCCACTGCGGCTGCAGAGACGCGCGCGCAATCTCCGCGTCGGCTCTTAAGCAAGTTGGGGCCAGGATAGGGGAGGGACGGTCCTTGAGGGGGAGAAACCCAGAGAGGCCCGCGCCTCACCGAGGAAGCCCCGCCCCGGTGCCTTCACTGGGGAGCAGGCATCTCTCTTCAGTTGGCTTGTCGCCTGCTCCCCCTTATCCCACGGCTCCTCGCTAAAGACTGAAATCGTGGAGCTGGAGGGCGCCCCCTCCCCAGCGTTTCCTCCTTGGGACAGGTGGAGGAGAAGGGGACAATTCTAGTTTAGGGGCCAGACCCACTGGGAGGCCCTGGCGCCGCCCCTGATGTCCCCTTCCCTGGCCCCTGGGACCCGGCTGCCTACTGCGTGCTCAGAGGCCGATCTCGCTGCTAGGGAGCGGCCTCTAGCTGTGTCTCCCAGGCATCCTGGCCTAGGGGAGGGTTGGAGTCACGAGCACTTTGTTCTGAGTGCCTCTCTGTTCTCTAACTAGAAACCAAGGCCTCCAGCTTTCCCCAACTCTAGTCCCCGGCGCTTCCGCTCTACCAGCCCCGTCAGTCGGAGGTGTCCTCTGCCCCTAGAAAAGGCGTTTGGCGGGCTCCCTTCCCCCAGGACACGTTTGTAAGGGTGGGGGGAGCACGACACAGGCACTGCATGCTCATTCCAGCGTCCCTCTGGGATTGGGTACAGTACCTCCAGCCCCGGGGCCCTGACCCGTGCACCTAGACATCCTGCCCACCTCACAGAGCAGGGGCCACTGGGTACAGCTGACCTCACCACCTCCTTTCCTTTGAGCCCAGGGCAGAGAGCCACAGCTGGTGCCATCCAGAGTCCGGTGTGGCCAGGGGCAGGTCTGGAGGTCTGCAGGTTAGGCCAAGGACCCTGAGGTTTGATCAGGGCACGGGATAGATTTCTTTCAGGTAATAGAAAGGTAGACGTGTCAGACACCAGCCCCCTGCATCCTTCAAAAGACCTCAGAGACCCATGGGTCCTTCCTGCTGGGACCTGAATGTTCTGGGCTGAAGTGGTAGATGAGGGAGAAGGGAAAGGGGGCTGTATCAATGCCAATTAGGGAACCAAAGTTGCACTATCTGGGCCCAGACTGACTGGTTGGCAAGAGCAAAGTTTCCGTTGATGAAACAAACATCCCACAAGAAAAACCCAAGTTTTCTGTGCTACATGTGCAATATTTGTTATGAATGTCATGTCATTCATCAAATTATCTTTATACTGACTGTAGTTAGATGTTTCACGTCTATTCAAGTGACTTTTATTCTGAGTGCAATATTTCAGTAGCCTTGTAGTGATAACTAGTGTTGCTTTTGTTTTAGATGTTCTCTGTGCAGGGCAATGCAATGAAGTTGAAAACCCTTGTAAATAGGAGAGGTTGCAAACCAAATCAAGAGTATTTATTACTATTCTTACTATTATTATTAGGCCTGCATTTAATTTTCAGTGTTTCAGTATTCCGCATCCTGCCTCAGTACTGATCCTGTGTTCTTTGTGCCAATATGAAAAGGAGAGGGTTGGTTCTTTCCTTTATTGTTGAATGCTCCCATTTAATGCTTTAGGGCTTTTACTGTATTTTTTAGACCCCCATCTGCACAAAATGCAATAAAAATAATTTTATTATACCCTTCATGGCCTGAGGTGTGCTACTGGGATACTCTGCGGGGGTGGGGGAGGGAGCCCTCTTGGAAGAACCCAGATTCTCAGAAACATTAAACTCTGCTGACAGAAGAGCAGAGCGATGGCCCAGATCTGGCCGTCCAGACGGCACGACACTGAGACCAACTCCTGCGACTGGGAGGCACTTCTAGGTGCCAGGCTGCACTGACATCCCCTATGAGCCAGTAAGCCTGCTGGTGTGCTAGTCTCACCCACAGGAAGCTCATGCCACTCACCCAAAATTGATTAAAGGCTCTCCAAGGTTTTTTCAGATTCTTACTGCATATTCTGCCAACTGCTGGCAAGATGGGTAGAACAGAGGGTAACAACTGAGGTGAAGTTTAAAAAGGAGACCCCCCCACTCCTCAGTCAGCCCAAAGAAGCCTTCACAATGGTTCTTCCTTTCCTAAAACAAGAGGACATGCCTGCTGACACACTGTGGTCTAACAGAAGTAGCACGCTGAACAGCATACATAGTCAGCAGTCTTTCGCTTTTTTTGTACTGGGGATTGAACCCAGGGCCTTTGCACTGATGTACATCTCTAGCCCATTTTTTATTCTGAGATAGGGCCTAAGTTGCCCAGGCTGGGCTTGAACTTGTGCTCTTCTGGCCTCAGCCTCCCAGAGTGCTGGGATTATAGATGTGTACTACCATGCCTGACTAACGCTTCTCCCTAGGTGAGCCACACAAGGTAGGCTTAAGAGAGTGTGAGGCCTGAACCCCAGTAGAGGACATGAAGGGGCAGACCCCGGTCCTCAAGGCAGGGATCCCTATGATCCTAGGAAAGTGTCCTGCAAACAGGTGCTGCAGATATTCATACTGAAGAAGATGAACACAGTTCTTTTTCATTTTAATTAAAAAGTAATCATTTTGTTTTAACAACATAAAAGTTCCAAAGAGGGGAAAAAACCCACTATATAACACAAACAGCTCAGAACATAAACTGCTGCCATTTGGGGACCTTCAGTTTTGAAATCATTGTTTGCTCAGCCACTGGCACTGACTCAGTTGAAGTCACCACGCTCCCCTGCCCTTGAGGCCCCTTGAGACCTGATCCACAGGGCTCTAACAAGCACAGTCCCTAGGGAGAGGGCAGATTCCTTTGGCTCCATTCAAAACAGCAACCACAAGCCCTCCAACAATCTCCGTCTGGCATGAAAGTATGGACACAACTATCGAGAACATGTTCAGCTACCAAAAGTCTGACATCAAATACTTCCTACCTCCTGCTGCTCAGAAAACAGAACAAGAGTCTTATATGAAAACGAAAGCCTGGGTTTTTGAGCCAAAACTCCAAACAAATCACTGAAAAAATATGGGTGCCCACTCTTAAGAGTCTAGGGCTGCTTTCTGACTCCACGAAGTGCTGTCTGATAGAGGGAGGTGCTGACAGAATGTTATGAGGGAAGAGTGGTGGGCCTAGATTCACAGTTGGTTTTCAACTGCTGGTGACTGGAGCTGTTCAGTCCACTGGAGATCATCCAATGAAATGGAAGAAAAAAGATTCCAACAAATTACAGCTCTGATGCAGGCAAAAAGAGTTCCTTCCTGGCCATCCTTCAGCAATCTATCATAGTTCATCTGAGTCCGTGAGCAGAGACCCATACTCATGGGATGGGGACATGGTGACACTGTGCTTGCCATGCCCCAGCTACTCCTCTGTGAACCTAGTCAGAAGCTCAAGCTCTGGTAGACATGGGTGAAGTGGAAAAGACTTGGGAGGCCCACACTGAACAAAGGCAGTGGCTACTGACATGTAAAATGCCACCCCAAACTCAGCCAACTAGGACATGACTTCTTCCTTTCCTCCCCCAAATCCAGCAGATTGAGGGACCAGAGAAACCCCACCAAATATAAACTGAGCCCAGATGCCTATGACTGCCCGAGCAACCCCCGAGATACTTATTTTCTACCAAAAAACAAAACAGACTCCCCCAAATGCAGTATAAACTCTGCTTCTGTAAGGAACAAGCAATACAGCCTCAGGGAGGGAGGAGAGCAGGTGGTAGAAACTTACAACATTCGATGTAGGCCTGGAGAGCACAAAGCACATCCTCCAATCAACTCTATTTAGAATGAAGTGGAAGGAGGCCAGGGGATGAGGGCACTGGGAATAGTTGAATGATTTAGCCTCAGTAATGCCTCTGGTAGGATCCCATGGGGGCCTGAGGCCGCCCCACCTGTGCTGTGGTCTGGCTAACCAGGTGGGATAGAGCAGGGCCACTCTGGATCAGGGTGTCCAGAGCCTTCTGTACACTTGGGTTGTCAAAGTTAATACCTGCGGAAGACACGGGCCTCTGGTTAGCTAACTTGCTAGCAGGTGCCAGGCAACTGGAAGGCTGGCCAAAGAGCCCTTGGGAAGGAGGCCCAGGCCTGGGGCCCAGGTTCCGAGCAGATCCTCCCTGTCCCAAAATATTTGGAGGCTGACTGCCAGAGGCCTGTGATCTTTGCTGAGGCTGGCTGTTTGCTGCTGTGGAAAAATTCTGGTTCTGGGTGCTTCCGGCAGCAACCGAGGGTGATGCAGGGCTGCTGTTGGCCATGACAGTGCCACTATTGAAGAGGCTGAGGATTTTGGCCTGAAGCTCTTGCTGGGAGGTGGGGGGTGCAGCTGGAGTGGGTGTAGCAGAGGGGAGCACTTGGCCACTCTGGAGTGGTTGGGAGCTTGGCTGTGTCTTCAGTGTGGCACCCGAGGTCGCCCCGAGTGGTTGGCGGGAAATCGGGCCTGGAAAACAGAAGAAAGAGGCATCTGGTTCAAAGTACCTCCCAAGGACAAAAGGCCTAGTAGCCCAGGGAAGCACAACAATCACTGAGTCACATCAATCACACAGTACATTGACAATAACATCAACTTCCCAAAGGGGCCACTTCATGGTATGTGCTGTTTATAGAAAACAGCCTGGTTCCCAAGAGAACTACTAAAACAAAGTGTGTGTGTGTGTGTG